ACCAACAACCATAAATACGTACTTGACTTCCTGGAAATTCATCAATAACCTGATGATCCCATAACTATAATGATGGTCAACCCAAGAATCCCACATTGCATCCAAATCCCTCACCAGCTCAGGTGTACCTCCACCTAACAAGACACCCGGGGTATTACAACAATGATGGAAAACTTTTAGTGAAGATGTTTGCATAGTAAGAAATGAATGATGAAGGACTCAAACCTTGCCCAATGATAACGGATTAAATGGGTGTTGATTTTGATATGTTTGGTACGTTGAGATTGTACCGGGTTAGAGGACATGTAAAGCGTGCTAACTTTTTCACAGTAGACAATAATAAATTTGGGGAACAAGGAGTGGAGCACCCAAAAGAGATTGCATAACAAACATCCAAAGATGACAATTTCATTTGTCCCTTGGATGACCATGAGAAAAGATTATTATCGAGGAAAACAGTGATAGCCTGAGGTGTATTGTCTTATGGAAGGACACATGCCATAGTCGGCATTTGAATAGACAATGAGATATGTAGAAGTATACGTGTGAATCTTGAGGCCGATGTCAAAGGTTCAACAAAACAGAATGAAGAATGTGCTTAAGGGCGCCAAATTGGGCCTCACAAGAGTAAAAGCCCAAAAATGAGAAATCAAACAAGTTTATTTAGTTTTAAATGGACTGAATTTGTTAGGTTTTATTATTGGGCTTAAACAGAAAGAGCTCAAATAAAATAGTCCACGAAACATGAGAACGAAGAAGACAGCACAGCAATCCACGGATGACCCATTCACTTTTCATTTCCCCCAAAACAAACGACTCACTAGTCACTCCGTCTTCTATCTTCTTCATCTGCTTTAAAATTTCTACCCTTTTCGCCACTTCTGTCACTGAATTCCCACATTTGCTCATCAATGGCGTCAATTAACTTTAACCCCTTTGGGGAAAATTGGTTCAAGAAGCCACCAAACCCTCTACAATCCATAAACATTCACGCTTTTTCAGATTCCATAAACCCGTTCAAACACCAACCTCAATCCGATCCATTTTCTTCACCCTTTGCCGCTCTCTCTATTTCCAACCCGTTCAAGAAAAAAACCGAACCCGATTCCCAAAGACCCAAACCAGGATACTACAAGAGATTGCTTGAACAGTTTTACTGGGAGTCAGAAAATCGGCCCGATTACCGCCACACCCCAGAAGTTGAAAGGATTCTAAACGAAGACCCAATCTGGGAAAAGAAAGAGAATCCAACCCAAGAAGAGATTGAAGAGAACGAGAGATGGTTGAAGGAATTTCGTGAGAGTCCAGTTGTTCGTTTTTTAGCCCGAGCAGAGGAGGTTATGGATGAGATTAATGAAATGGAGCTTAAAGAGAATTCGAAACCATATAGAAGTGAGGATAAGAAGTATTGGCAATCGATTCCGCATGTCATCGGACCCGACGGCCGGCCTATGCCAAGGAAAGCTATAAAGACTAGGAAGGAGTCCGATGACAAATTTTGGGATTTCGCGAAGCAATTCTTCTTCGGGTTATGGGGATTCCGGCAACGGCCATATCCTCCCGGCCGACCAATTGATGTTGCTCAAGCTATTGGGTACAAGAGGCTGGAGAAGAGATACTATGATTGTAAGTTTCACTTGTTTCTTATAATGCTGAATTCTTTTTATCAAATTTTTTCCCAATTTGCTATACGAATCTGATATTTACACTTGAAAGCGATAATGTGCTATTGTGGATTGTTCTAGTTATCATGAGGTCTGGTGGATTTTTCTACAAAGATCGAATAGGTCGAACAAGGGGACCTTGTGAGTTGATACAACTAAAAACAGCTTGGGGAGCTGGAATCATCGATAAATATACTTTCATTTGGGGTGATGACATGGACGAGTGGGTCCCAATCGGCATGATTTATGGTATGGAGCGTGCAATTGCCACTTGGGAAGGTTCGTATCTGTGTACTTTGTAATCTTGCTTCTTAAAATGCACATATAAAGTTTGCTCTTTGATCACATAAGCAACTTGTTTCAATTTCAGTGAGATTAGGTGCTGCAGCCACAGCTTTCATTCACAAACTACAAAAGGGTATCCCTCCGTGGGCCCCGCTAAAAGGGTTTGAGAAAAAAAGCAGGAAACAGCTGCAAGATGAAGCATATGAAAGCAAGAAAAGGGATTTAGCTGTTTTAGAAGCTAATGATGGGATTTGGCCTGGTGTGAGAATTCCTAGTCATGCTTTGTTTCTTTGGGCTAGTGGATCCGAACTCACATCGATTTTGGAACAAGACCATATGCCTAACAAATACATTCCCAAAGATATGAGGTAATAATCCTGTTTTTGTCTCATTCACATCAGTTTCAGACTTTCAGTGTCAGTGTCAAAGTCAGAGTCAGTTGAATGCATGCTAGATGTAGTACAAGGTTGTTTGTTTTATCCTGTTAACAAATTATGGTTTGCTACAGGAAACAACTGCAAAAAGCAATTCCAGGGTTGAGGCCATGGGAGGTTTTAAGTGTAGAACAAGCGATGGATCAGATAACATATGGTGGTGAATGGTATCGCGAGCCTCTTGGTATATTTAGAACATGGCCTCCTTACATTGAGGAATGGAATGAAGATGTCGAGGTATGGCAATTGCATTTGCACAATCAGTATCAGTAACAGTAATATTTGGGTGTTTTTGTTTGGCAATTGCAGGAGTTATTTGACTCATACCAGCAATTCACGGAGCTGATTTGTGAGTTTTTGGAGGTAGCAATTCCAGGGTTTGATAAGGTAATGAAAAAGGTAGAATCGGAAGCTGAGAGGAAATTCAGAAGACGGGTGCAAAGTGGAAAGAAAAAAATAGAAGCAATGAAGCGGGCCCAACAACCAAAAAGTCCCGTTCCTGTTCCTGAAAATGAAGATGAAGAAGAAGAAGATGATCAATGAGCTCATGTGTTTGTGTTTTTTTTTTTTTTAAAGAATTGTTTTGGGGTAGAGTGTGTCCATGATAATTATGGTGTAAGTTTTTCTAGATGTTGTGTTACATGAACCCTATTTGTGTTCAAAATTTTCTTTTCTTATGGTATTTGAATTTATCCCTGATTTTTTTTTTTTTTTTTTTTTTTTTTTTTTTTCTAAACAAGTGCAATAATCTTGTGCGACATCGAAAGTCCATCCAAAATCTGTCCTCTATGAATAAATGCATATTGTTCAAGACTAATAATTGAAACAATAACAGAATGTGTTTGATTTTCCAAAAGTTTTGCTTTTACCTTATACTACCTATAAGGCTAATATGAAATTAATGACAAAAAGGGTAAGAAACCTTCGGAATTAGAGCATTTGCAACCACCAATCGGAATGTGGTCCATTAGAGTGTATTAAAATGACACAACATAAATTCATCTTTCAACCCAACTAACGTGATTATCCGAACCTACTTATAACCCGAAACTCGATTAACCCAAACCCGACTAACATGTACCTTAATGGGGTCAGGTTTCAGGTGAATGTTTTTTATGGAAAAACCCAACCAACCGGATCTATATAACCCAAAAACCGATCAGGTTAACCCAATTAACAACCCTAGATCAAAAATGTGCAAACCCCTTAACCACTTTGATAAAATCAATCCCGCCATCTTCAAGTACTTTTCAATGAAAGTGAAAAGTAAATCCATTTAGGCATGAAGATTTATCGGCTCCAAAATCTCACCCCACTTGTTTATGGAAATTGGAAAGAATGACTCTAGAAAAACTTTTTCATGAGAGGGATAACCTTTTAAATAGATTACTCATTTGTAAAGAATGGTGAGAAATTTCTTTCCAAACTAAGTTAGAAATATTCTAAAAGAACACATACACACATCCCCTTTAAGTTAGTTATACCCCAAATAGATCCTTTAATTTATACCCCAAATATATCTCTAAGCACTTTACGTCAACAAATTTCATAGAAGAACTTGGAATTCTCATTACCATATGCATTCCAGTCAATAACCGTAGTTCCACCCGGAAGATACCTAGTAGATTCATTAGTCGTAGTTCAACCTGGAAGAGAGTTACATATTTAAAAAAAAAATTAATATTTAAAATGGGGCTAAAAATAGAACTTAATTTACCACTTAGACCAAGACCACCCACATCAATTTGCTATGTCGTCTCATATATCATCTTACAATGCTTGAAATGCATATTGTCATGCCACATCACCTTGGTGGGGCCCTTTGGCATTTCCTTCCATAAATAAACTCAGTAGCAATGATTTTTTCCAATCTTTCCATTTCTTTTTCTTTCTCTTCTTCAATGAAACTCTGGAGCAAGAAATAGGACTCACTTGTTGGCATGTTCTTTGGTAATAATTACTTTGATGCTATTAAAAGGAAATGTTTTTTGGTCCTTAGACATTGAGGATTTATACCCTACAACAAACACATTGAAAATCAAGCTACATGTGATCATATGGTTGTGACAATTTGTTTGATTTTTTTGAACAGACAAGGTTTATTCGATGTGATATATGATATAATAATACTTTTGCTATTTACCCTTAAATAAAAATATCCATAAAGCCACCGACCACTTATGTACTTCATAAGCGTGCCTTCCTTCGCAACTTCATACGCACGTGACGGGTGCTTCAAACCTTAAAAGCCCCGCTGCTTAGAAATAATGTTAAATAATATAATGTTAAATAGTAGTAAATAAAAAAAATGTCAGTTCTGGTCAAAATACATTCACCTAAATTTGTTTAATACAAAATACAAAAATAAAAATAAATCAGTAACATAATTAAGAAGCAAGAAGTTGAGTGCTCCAGCCAATTAAGTTACAGTAACTCGGAGAATATTATTTGTATAAATACTCAATTGTAAATAATTTGAGCCTTTTGTTATAAAATAATCCATTCCACCGACCAACGCCAATTAAGTTACGAGTCAATAGTCATCATTTATGATTTATGGGTATACCAGAATATTATATTAGTTTTATGAAAACGAGATAGGTATAATACTTAGCTAGAAAATTTTCTTCCTGTATATATAACGTACCACAGCAATGACCATTAAAATCTTATAAAAGTTGCTGGGTTTCCAAAAAAGAAGACATGGAAGATAGTATGTTAGATCCGCCGGATTTAGTATTCGATGAAAAAGTGAGTAACAAGAGAGTAAGAGATGGCGAAGAGGAGATCAATATAGAAAGACTCGAAAAGAGGCCAAGTGGCATTTTGGGTGTTAATGGTGGTGGGGACTGCGATGAAGATCGTGTCAATGAAGGATGGGCAGCAAGTGGTGGCACTGGTGGTGGGATCATCGACACTTTCATTTCAAATGTTTTTCACCAGAATGAAAGTGTTATAGAAGGAGGAGAAGTTGAAGTTCGTGGTTTAATGAAAAGTGATGTAACTGATGTTGTCGTTGAAGAGAAAAGCGAAGATTTACGCATCGGTAGCAGTGGAGGGCATGGTGGAGACGATGGTGGTGACGGAGAAAGTGGCGGTGGACGAGGTGGTGGGATTATCAACACTTTCATTTCAAATATGTTTCACCAAAATGGAAATGGAGATGATGGTGGTGATCAAGCGAAAAGTGGTTTACTTAATGAAGTTGTAGAAAAAAACGAAGATCTAGATGCTGTCGGACGACACTCCGGCGAAGATGGTGGTGGTGGACCTGGTGGCAGTGGTGAACGAGCGGATCTCGTTGCAGAAAAACCGCCTGAGAAGACCAACAACACTGTGCCTGATTTGTCTAGTAAACATCTTACAGGTATAATATATTATATTCATTGGTATTTTTAACTTCCAAACGACTTAAAAGTGAAAAGTCAATACAGGTATATATGCATATATATAACCACAGCTTTTTAACGAGAGATCTTGATTTTATAAGATATATTTCTACCATTTGAATGCTCATGTGTGTTGTACAATAACAATGGATCAGGGGAAAAACTAAACATGCGACCAGATGATTATTCAGAAAGAGTGTTTTTCCTAAACAATAACTGAAGTTGATCGCATAGTATACCACGTTAAAGCACTGGAGCATTCATAGGTCAACCAAGTTCAAATTCATGGATGATATTGATCTACGTGTTGTTAATTTTATTTGATGCTTTTTTAGCAGTTGAAGAAGATAGTTTTTGAGGATTTTAGATTTACATGATTCGTAATGTAACTTGAACTCAAAATACTAGTTTTATACGGCATACTAATTGACTCCTCGAGTTCTTGGTGTGTGTGTGTGTGTTTTTTTTTTTTTTTTTTTTTGTCATTCTTCCAATTTTAATATTTGTGTATTTCATGGTTCAATATGATGAAGGATTTAATTTTAAATTACATTTTACGTTCCTAACTTAGCTGATTTTACAAATTTGCTCGGAATATTTTCTCTTGTAATTTTAATGAGGTTTTTGTAATTGTTTTGATTCATATAAGGGGCTATTCAATAACCTCTCAATAATGGCACCATTCAAAGATCACCTCTAAATTGATCTGCATTTAACACGTTTGAATGTTTGATACAACATCTGAATGACCCCTAAATAATTTTTGGTAAACCAATTAAATAAACTAGTTTCTAGCTGAGAAAAATTATGTTTGGTAAGCTAGCTAATAAGTTGTTATAAATATAAAAATACATAACATAATATGAATATGTAGAAGAATGCTTTTGTTTTGTAAATTACATATTGAAACGAGTAATTCATTTGTAAAGAAAGAGAATTGAAAGGTTAGAAGATGATTTGGCAAAATTGAAAGGGGATTTTATGAAAAAGTGAGTGACCTTTTTTTAAACGATAAATCTAATCTATTTCTACTAAACTATTTCTAACAACGTCTATGTTCTGAACAAGACTTGAACCCTCAACTTCAAATGAGTAGCTTGGACTTGGAGGACCGGCTACCCTTCAAATTATAAGAAAATTACAAAAGAAACCCTGCAATTTGAGTTATTGACTATTGTACGATAAATCAAATCAAAACAAAACAAAAATAACTTAAAATTAGACATGAAAAATATTAGTATCGAATTATTATTATTATTAATTAAAAATATGTAAGTAAACTTATTAAGAAATTAAATATATACTATTAACATAAATTTAAGTTAATTTTAATAGATATTAAATATAATCCGACAAATAATAATCATCATTTGTATCAAGTCCTATATAATAATATATTTCTTGTAATCCAATTGCTTAAGATACTTATATTTTCTTATTTATCAAAGTTATGTATGTGATGATATTTTTTCAAGGGATAATGACTTGAAAGGGTAACGAAGTTTCGATTTTGTTCACATTTAGTCACTAAATTTTTTTCCGTTATCTATTTGTCATTGAACTATTGAAATTGCTCATATTTTACCCTTATGAACAGTTTCAATAGTTCAATGACAAATAGATAAGACAAAAAGTTTAGTGATTAAATGTGAAAAGTTTCAATAGTTCAATGACAAATAGATAAGAAAAAAAGTTTAATTATTAAATGTGAACAAAATCAAAAGTTTGTTTCCTTCTAAAAAAGTTTGTATTTTTTATTTCATAGATTTCTTCATCAACAAATATTATTAGAATTTAACGAAAATAAATAATTTGCTAAAACAAAATACAATATAGTTTGTATTTAGTCATTGAACTTTTTTTAGAAGGAAACAAACTTTTGATTTTGTTCACATTTAGTCACTAAATTTTTTTTCATTATTTATTTGTCACTGAACTATTGAAACTGTTCACATTTTACTGGTGGTCATAAGGGTAAAATGTGAACAGTTTCAATATTTCAATAGCAAATAGATAACGAAAAAAAATTTAGTGATTAAATAAGAACAAAATCAAAAGTTTGCTACCCTTTCAAGTCATTATTCATTTTTTTCAATCCAATAGTTCATCGTCTTTATATTTCATCTTATTTTCTTTTGTCAAAATCATTTCAAACGAGTTTATAAAACAAGTTCTCTTGAGATATCATGTAAAAGAAAAATGTGTACAGTTAGAGTTGTAATTTTGGAAGGACATTTGACTGTAGTGAAAAAGACAAATTTGCCCTTGCATTCTCATACAATCATAACACTAAATATTACATTTTTACAACAAATTTTGATGACTTCATCTTAAAAAAATCAGAAAAAGTGTCAAATAACATTAAACACATCCAAACACCCCAATACAAGCATGATTTGCATCCTCCCTTAATGTGTAAGCTATAACAAATATTGTTGTAAAAACCATAGACATAAATATAAACTCTGTCCATTTGTAAATTATAAAACTCGATAAACTGATGAAAAATTCACATAAACAAAAAGTCCCAAAATAACACGAGTATATATTTTGTAATAATTTTGACAAAGGGTAACATTGGAATTTAATAAAGTTCGAGCTTGAGTAACCATTTTCCAAATAAAATATGAAGTTGATTCTAGAGGTCTCTGGTTCTTTGCCTTAACTGATTCAGCTCATTCTCTATTTCAAGATCCGGAAACGGATATGCTGCTTTTGAGTTGGAAACCGTTGTTCTCCCTGGTGGAAGCTCTCCTTTCTGTAAAATCCCAAAAATGCCCTTATGGAATGAAAAATAATATGATAATTTGATGGACTTGCTTGTAATGGATCTTGGAGAAAGTGGTGGAAAAAGTTTGTTTATTTTACCTTAAACATTATTAATTTCGAAATGAAGCATATTCATCTGATTTTGTAATGAAGGGTGATAATGTCATTTCATTAATGTTTTAAAAGGAAAGAAAAGAGAAAATAAATACCTTTGTGGTTCCAGATAACTCCTTCTTTAAGCTTGCAAGATCATCATCAACTGATGAGCTCTCCAGCATTGCAAACTGCAAAAGGGTAAATTCAGAAAGAATGTCTTAATCCAATAAGCTAATATTATAGAGAAAAAGAAAACATACCTTTCCTTCAAGATCATCAGTTGATAGCTGATTAAGAGCTTCTGCTTGAGACTCCATGGTCATAACTAACATCAAAAAAAAAAAAGTTAGAAGGGCATTCATGTCTTTTGTTTTGTTTTAAGATAGAAAGAAATGGAACCTTTTTCTTCCATCTTCTCAAATGCTGAAAGAGCACTACTTGTATTCACATTCCCCAACATTTCACTTACTTTTGTTGCAGTTCTATACCAAAAAAAAAAAGGAAAAAAAAAATACATTAACTCCAACAAGTTTTAGAAAAATCTCAATGTTATTAAAAAAAAAAACACTAACTTTGCAGATTGTGCACGTGCTTTGAGAGTATCTTTCTTTGACTTAGCCTCTTGTATCTTGCTTTCTAGAATCTGTTAAGAGAAATGTATTATACATTTGGAAATAAGCAAAAATTTCAGTTCTTGGAAACAATATTTAAAAAGAGGTGAAAAAATATACCCGAGTGTTATTCACAAGATTATCCACAACACCTTTCTGTTGATCAAGTTGAGTCCTCAAAGAAGCTGCATTCTCCTGTAAAACAAATTAACAATACAATACAATCATATATTTTTTATATAAAAATATCAAAACCATTATGAGTGATTTATAGATCTAAAAAAAAGGAAGTCTTACAGCATAAGATTTACGCCTCTTTAAAGCTTCACGTGCAAGATCTTCATCTCCCTTACTAAGAGCAAGTTGTGCTCTCTTGTACCTAAAATTTAATTCTTGTTTTTACTTTTTATAAATTAAAAAAAAACATTTATGAAAAAAAAAAAAAAAAAAAAAGTCTATGGTGACTCACCAGTCTTCAGAAGCTTGCTCAGCAGCTTTATATTTGTTCTCCAACCGTTTTTGAGATGCCAAAACCTTCACAACCAAAATCATGATATTAGTTTCATATCATAAAGTAAATAAATATATATAAATAAATAAAAAATGAATGTGTACTTGAGCTGTAGCTTGACGCATCTTTATTAGATCATCATTCATTTCAAGAACAGCTTGCTCTAAGATCTTTTCTGGATCTTCAAAGGTGCTAACAAGTGCATTTGCGTAGGACTAACACATCAAAATTAACAATTTAAAAACCAAAAAAAAAAAAAAAGAAAAAGAAGAACTATATGTCATAATGAATATCCAAATAATAACCTAACCTTGACAACTCGTGCAAAACGATCAAAAAGATTCATGCGAATCCCATAACATCTTGTATTTCTAGGGTGATCTAGTCGTACTCTAATCTTTAGGGCTCCAACTGCAACACAAATGTAAAATCATTAAAAGGACTTTTTAATCATTTTTCACATATTTACTTACCTCTACAAATTCCTTATCTTTCATCATTCATTATGTTGACTAAATGAAAGGAATAGCAATGTGCTTTCAGTTATTGTTTGTTATGGCAATCTTGAAAGACACAGTTAAGTTGGAAAACTCATCCACAAAGGTGGGATGATTATAAGAACAATTAGCATCGTTTAACCACTAACTTATTCACTTCAATCCGAGTAACCTTATCAACGTCATTGAGAAAACGCACAAATCTAGAAGATTTAGGGTTTATGCTTGACACAACAGAGAGTTTAACTAATGAAATTTGTAGAAGTTATAACATAAAAAAAAAAAAAAAAAAGGATGAATCATGTTAAAAACTCATAAATTTGGAATGGGTGTGAATATATTAATCAGTAAGTTACCTCCAGAACCAAAGAAGGATGTCCTGTTAGTTGGAATCTTGCAAAATCCAATTCTGGTAGAAGAATCCTGTAATGAAGCTGATGTTGTTGAAGCGATACTTAACCCTGCAACAGGTGCTCTCAGTGCCATTGAATTCTTTGATGGATTAAAACCTAAACCACCTTACGTCGACCAAAATCCCCAAATTGTAACAAGTCGGAAGATTTATTTTATATACAAAGGGATAATCGACGGTTTTCGTGCTGCTATTCTTCTATGTTTTGGGGGTTTCGTACTTGTGGTGGTGATTGTATTGCAACCTTCGTTTGGGTTGTGCGAATTGCGATGAGGGAAAACTTGACGAAATTAAACCGAAGTGGCTATAAAGTTTGAACCATGTTGTAAATCAATGGCCCAAGTTACTGGTGTCAAAAGTAGACAATAGCCAAACTACCCGAATCCTATACCCGATAACTTGGGATTTCGAGTTTTTTTTATATATTTTTTTTTAATCGGTTAAATGTCAAAATGACACTTTTATTTTAATTTTTATATTTTATATGGATTTTATAGGCTAATTTTCATACATGATTTCAAAATAGTAGAATGATAATTGGATCTAGATTTTAAACGAGGCAATA